TACAACCTTGTTGACAATCCAAGGGTGAGTTTTACCTCCAGGTCCGGCCACTACTGTGTCCCAACAACAAATGCGAGGCTTAGACACTGACCTCGGCCAGACACAAATCAAATGAAATGTTGTTGCGGCGCACTTACCTCCCCGTTTACCTCCCCGTCCTCATCAGCAGAACCAATTTTGGTACGACTCAAGAGGGGCTTTGTGAGAAATGGACCGTTAGGGGAAATAGTTTATCTCAAATGAACTGATGTGTCTCTTTGTGTTGCTGTGTTTTCTTCAGAGGCAGCTTCGAACAGGACGTGGAGAACGGATACCAGCAGAACCCGGATACCTGCCACGGTGAGATGGATATTCATTCTCAGTCATTTACATAAGCAATAAAGAAATAGTTAAAAAAGCACCTATTGACTGCCATCGGATCGTGATGGCAGAGCGACAGCAGGCACAAGTGATTGCTGATCTATCAGATTATAATGGAGCATTACGATGTATTTATTTCAGCGAGGGCAGCGATTCAGTCCACGCTGAAGGAGCTTGAAGAGCAGTTTGTCCGCCCCCGTTCACCGTCCCTGCTGGAATAATGCTCTCAAGCTTTCTGTGTTAATTAAGCATAGCTCATATTAGGGTTATTATATAAGACAAAGTGGGTTGTTGTGACTCGTTTGAATGTGATCAGAACCACAAACAGGACAATGAATTCCCATTCGAAATGAATACAGGAAACTTAACCCATCACACTGATGTCATTCTCATTTTTTCATTTCTTTCTCCAGATGTCCTGGCGACAACTCGCAAGCAAAACACGGCGCTGGATTCGGCGTATGGTCAGTGAACATGCCTTTTTTCATTTAGCCAGTCACCGCTGAGTGCTAACAAGCTAAAGGCTAGCAAACTGGGCTCAATCTAGTTGTTTCTTTCCTCCAATACATGCAGTATATTATTATTCCTACGCATTTTGAATCTGTTTTTGCGTCTGTGAAGTTCACGTGTCAAAATGAAGCGTACAGAGAGTCGTGTTTCCTCGGAAAAGGACGATAAAGAATCACATTCAGTTCAATTCTATTAGATTTATTGGCATTATCAAAAAATCACCAAAACAGTTTACAGAATGAAATCCCCACAGAGGAGAAATGTACTTTGTTACAGCAGAAAACCTAAGAAGCATGCTTACAAAAGTATTAAAGCAAAACAAAAGTTACACAATTTACGAAATATACATCCTGTAACAGTTCTGAGGATTGAGCAGCCAGGTATATATAGCACAGTTATTAAGTAATGCCGATCTAGATCCCTCCGCCTCGCGTCGGGCTCCTGATCAGCCTGTCGGTGTTCTTTCCCCATAATGACCGCGTCGCTGCACATTATCCCGCTTATTACACGAACACATTCTCAACAAAGTAACGTTATGAATCCCAATATTAATTGAAATGCTTTTATGGATTTAGAAAATGATTTTATTGATTTAAAAAATAGTTGTATTGATTTAAATTGACATGCATCCGCTAAGAAAAATAGTCCGTTGTTACTGTTTGAACTAACGTAGCAACGGCAGGAACTGCTTCGATAGCGTTTTTGAGGAGCTTTTTGATTACAGATTTGAAAACATCGCTGCTTGCTTTAAAAGTAGCACAATTCATGATGTCAAACCTTGGAAGTATCTAGATATCCCTGCCCTAATGCCAAAGGAACTGCCAACTGAATATGTGTCGCCGTTTGATGTCTATGTCTGGACCGCTGCGTAAAAAGGAGGGTTTCTGCCCGTTACTTCTCCGCTGTTTTCTTGTCCCTCTTGTCTTTTTCTTTTCTTCACTGGGGACTCATCAGCCACTAACCATTCCTCCAAATTACTGTGCTCTCCAAATATATTAAAATTAATGTTAAAATCCTCCATGTTGCTATCACACGACAGCGGAAAACTAAAGACAATCAGACAGTTTGCTTTTCAAACTGTTACATTTGAAAAACAGTTAGAGCGTCTCTTGTCAGTTTGAAAAGCCAACGGCAGGAACTGCTTGCGTTTTTGAGGAGCTTTTTGATTACAGATTTGAAAACATCGCTGCTTGCTTTAAAAGTAGCACAATTCATGATGTCAAACCTTGGAAAGTATCTAGATATCCCTGCCCTAATGCCAAAGGAACTGCCAACTGAATATGTGTCGCCGTTTGATGTCTATGTCTGGACCGCTGCGTAAAAAGGAGGGTTTCTGCCCCGTTACTTCTGCGCTGTTTTTCATGTCCCAGTTCGAAAAGCAAACTGCATGCAGTTTGCTTTTCGGCCCAACTGTATGCAGTTAAATCGACCGGACTTCTTTCTGAAGATGTGAGCGTCCTTAACAACGGTCAATAAGTCCTTGACAGCGGTCTGTCTGTTCGGTATTAACAACGTGTCACGTGTTCTGAATTGACCAATCAGAATCGAGTATTCAACTAAGCCATGTAATAACGGCATATATATATATATTGCACATAGTTGTGTCCGGCAGTGGCTCAGTCAGTAGGGGCTTGGACTGGGAGCTGTAGGGTCGCCGGTTCAAGTCCCCGACCAGACCTAAATATGGAGTGTGGACTGCTACTTAGAGAGGTCCCAGTTCACTTCCTGCCCTGCCGTGGTGCCCTTGAGCAAGGCACCGGACACCCCCCTTCCCCCACTCACTCCCATTGCTCCCCGGGCGCTGTACTCTAGCTGGCCCCCAGTACTAGACTCCTGGTGCTAGGATGGGTTAAAAGCAGAGAACACATGTCACTGTGTGCTCTGCATGTGAGACCATTACAGAGGGGTTCATCCCTCCCAGTTCTATTCTATTTGGTTGGTATTTAACAGAGTTGAACCCCCCTCCTGTATTCCCTGATATGCATACAAAGTCAATGATTCTTCACTTTACAACTTGGGAGGTTTCAGAATATTTAGCGGTGGCAGCTGAATGGCCGGAGCCACCTCTCCTGCTCTGCCTCTCTGACAGCTTAAACATTGAAGCCATTGTCCGAAGCATCAGAGCTCTAATGCCCCGAATCAAGAAGGATCATCATCCCCGTCACGTCCCATTACCCCCCCGCTGGCCACTGCGCTGCCCCTGGCACGGCCCGAATAGAAATAAAAAGGCTGGCAAGCTGGCAGCCGCTCAGATAAGACCGAGGAGGTGGCGCTCGGACACATTTTCCAACTGCAACATTTAAAAAATATAAGATAAGACGAGGTATTTATCCTGAAGGAAATTGTTGTGCCAGAGTTACACAAATACAATAAACACAGCAGCATAATAATAATAAAACTGTACACTAACAGTGCCGTAAAAAGAGCATTTAAATATCTACAGGAAACATAGACAGTCACATAATTAACAGTAGTTACTAGTGCAAAAATCGTAGTGGAAGATACGTAATTACACCTTTATTTATTAATTATTTATCCGTTTTTTTCGACTCGCTCAAAGTCCGTTTTTGTCACTGGACAAATTTGGAGCTAATGGAGGTTGATCCAACACTCTGATGAGTCGGCCATTACGGCTGAGCAGAGCCATCCATCCTGCGTCTCTCATAAGTCTCTCGCCCCCCCGAACAGAGACCACTTTGTCTGCCAGAGGCTTCGGCCCAGACCTCCTCACTCCCACAGCGCCTCAGTAGTGATGCAGCCCCCCCGCTGGAGGAATTACCACTCAGTCGGTAGCTAGTCTTGATAAGCAAAGCCATCTCTCATCACCCTGACACTGTTTGAAGTGCTCAGCCACATTCTGTCTCTGCTGTTTTCTAGCCTATTCACACAAAAAGCCTTTTAAGTCTCTGTAGATCAATTATCAGCTTTCCTAGACAATAAAACACCCCATATACCAAACAAAGCTGTTGTCTCACAGGGGCTCCGTTCCCCCGTTCGAAAGGCAAAGGCAGAGAGGTTTTCTTTCTTTCTCTTCCTGCCACAAACAAACACCGGCAAAGAAAAAGGACGTTAGACAAACACCTGCCAGTGTAGGTAATCAAATATCCCTCTGTTTTAACTTCATCAAAAGTAAAAAGGGGGACGACGAACACGGTCCTACGTGCACTCTCAGAATAACTCAACCGTTATGAATTGAAGTAATGAAGGCCTGGAGCTGTTGTCCGGTGTGCCACGGCCAAACGGCCCCTGGCGTACAGTTTTAATTTGCGCGGCGCAGATGGTGACCTGACGGGGTTCCTCGTTCAGAGCGAGGTCTGTCAACTGGCTCGCTGTGTGTGTGTGTGTGTGTGTGTGTGTGTGTGTGTGTGTGTGTGTGTGTGTGTGTGTGTGTGTGGTGTGTGTGTGTGTGTGTGTGTGTGTGTGTGTGTGTGTGTGTGTGTGTGTGTGTGTGTGTGTGTGTGTGTGTGTGTGTGGTGTGTGTGTGTGTGTGTGTGTGTGTGTGGTGTGTGTGTGTGTGTGTGTGTGTGTGTGTGGTGTGTGTGTGTGTGTGTGTGTGTGTGTGTGTGTGTGTGTGTGTGTGTGTGTGTGTGTGTGTGTGTGGTGTGTGTGTGTGTGTGTGTGTGTGTGTGTGTGTGTGTGTGTGTGTGTGTGTGTGTGTGTGTGTGTGTGTGTGTGGTGTGTGTGTGTGTGTGTCCCCTGCTAACATTATGCCTGGCTTATTAGTGCAGTGAGCTCGAGCCAATAGCAGCATGCGCCTCGTCGGACCTCAAGGACAACAGAGAGCTAATAATGCAATCAAGATGTGGAGTGTGTCATCAAGATACATTTGTTTGATAATACAAAGGCCCGTGGCAGCTCATGCCCAGCGTGTTCCTCGGCATATGCTTGAAATTACTCCAAATGTAGCCGTCGTAATGTTTCGCCTCAAGGTGACGGAGATTTCTGTGAAACAGTTTAGCTCCGATGAGGTCGTTGGAAAAGACTTGATGAAACAGAAACATCATTTAGTCAGCCACCGGTATCTATTTCTACTCATCTGGGGAAACACTTAGCAGTTTAGACGGTGGTGGGAGGTCATAGACGACTTTAAAAAAACATATGGGGGGGGATTTGTCTGTAAAATAAGATGGAGAACTAGGATGAAATTACTAATGAGAGGTTCAATAATAATGCTAGACTGACATTTGAATCATTGGGTCAAATCATGACGTCAACATTTGCGAAGCGGAGTATCTTCAGATTTCCAGATACTTGAGTTATGACGTTAATTGCGTAAATGGGAAAGCACATGTAAATATTTTTGGGAGAATCAATGAATTGCTATATAAAAGGACATATTTTATGATTTTATTTTCAAAAACTGGATACATTTTCTATATTATTGTAAACCATATTAAATTATAAGATGTGTTACACCCATATTTTGCCGTTATTACACCCATATAACACCAACATTACACCCCGTTATTAAACCCATATTACGCTTGGACCAAGCCGCTCAAATGACTGCATCCCCCAGGATACAGGAAGCATTACAGGGTGAACATGCTAATGATATATGTCTTTATGTGAGTTGTGTTCGAGTGTGATATTAGCAGCACAGCAAGAAATATTCCGGAGCATCGTGGACATGTCATTGAAGATGTGTGATGTGTGCCAAAGCTGCAGAGGGTGAATGTGGGCATTAAGCAGCTGGAGAGGTGGATCCTCATCATCAAACTTTATTGTCAATATTTCAGTTTGTGTACAGACGGAGAGATCGAAATACCGTTTCCCACAATTCCAAATACAAATATATGTGAAAATATGTATAAAAATATGTACACAATCAACAGACACATGAGATATAAATAAAAGCAATCAATATACAAAGTAACGTCACTTCATGCTGAATCTGCAGGGATGGATGCATTTATTTCCCTGTGTGCTCATCTCTCATCTTTTTATTTATTGTTTATTAACGGGTGATGGTTTTTCTCTCCACTCACCCTCATTTCTCTGAGGTTTATTTTTCAGGCTGATTCACATTCCACTAATCACTCACTCTGTTGCCCCCCTCTTCCTCCTCCCCTTCGTTACAACCACAGGGAAGACCACACCCACAAGCGCCAGCTCCACCTATCACGTGGCGGCATTCCCAAAGGAGGCAGGTGACCCTGACAGAGGTACAGGTCCTGATGCCCCTCCCCCCGTTGGGGAACAAGGGTCACCTGACTCGGAGCCAATCAGTGTGGAGATGGAGGGTAAGGGGGAGGGATTTTATGTACTTAGTGAACCTGCAAGGGGATTGCACTGCTGGGCCCTGAACGCCTCATCTTACGCTTCTAACCAGGCTGACCACTAACAACTAAATATAACAATGGTTTCACTCTGGAAGAACGGCACGTATGCATGCACTGAATCCAATCGCAAGCTGCTTCTCCACAGTAATGGCACTCATTCACAACGGTAATGTAAAAATGACAGTGGAGGCTAGGGCTGCTCAATTAATCGTATTTTAATCGCGATTATAGCTCGCAACGATTACGAAAACAACGTAATCGAAATAAAACAATTATTTATTTATTTTTTTTCAGTTGAATTATACTTAAAGTTCAGGGTAATCAACTGTTAAAAACATACTTGAAAAAATATTGTCCAATAAATGGATGTTTTCAAAGTCAATGAATTGTTTTTGTATTATTTGACTTTAACTCTATATTTATTTGTTGTTCCTTCCTTTTCTTTTCTCTTCACTATATCTGTAAAGCGTCTTTGAGCACCTGTAAAAGCGCTAACAAATTAAATCTATTTTTATAATCGCAATTACAATTATTGACCCAAATAATCGAGATTATGATTTTTGCCATAATCGAGCAGCCCTAGTGGTGGCACATTTAAAGTACCCTCTGTCTTTCAAAAAATACATTTTCCTGATGCTTTTGAATCGTCAATGAGGAGTCTACTCCCGTTTGTGAAGGAGCATTGAAGAAGTCATGTGACGCGACGCATGCTAATGTGTGTGAATGCTCTCCCAGGGTGAAATGACACTTTCATCAGCTCACTAACACTTAACTCACTACTTAAACCAATCTCTTAGCGAATGGCAGAAAGCATTGCTAATTGATTTTCTTAATCTATACACTTCATTAGTCACGGCGTTACATGACGTGATGCATAATTTTCCCGGGGAGCTTCACTTAGAGCTTCCACTGATTTGAAGCCTGTGTCGTTAGATGGAAAGGATTAATGATAAGTCAATTCCACAGCGGATATACATTCGAAAAACCTGGTTTGGATAGAGGATTTTAAACGAGGACCTTATTGTCCAGTTATGTTCAGCCGTATATCTCGATGTACTCAACGCTGCAGAAGATTTAATGACTTGTAATAAATACTGCAGTGTCTCTAATGAACTCTTCAAATCAAGTAGAGAACCTAAGTCTAAACAACACCGCTCCCTCATGGCCTTCCTTCCCTCATCTTTTATTTAGCTCCACAAATATTACCGCAATGTTTTCAAAGCACAAGTCAGGTAGCATCCCTCTCCCTACGTGACAATTAATTTACAATTATAATTTACTTTCCCATTCGGAGGAACGCTGTAAGGTCACGTCCCTGTGCAGCTGACACAGAATTCAAAAAGTTTAGAAAGCCAACTTCTTGCTTCCACAACTCGACCAAATCTGTCGTCAAAACTAACGTGTTTTTTTAATCTAACTTTCTAAATAAAAGAGTGAATTGTTTTGGAATCACTATTGAATAAATCAGCTTTTGAGCGTTTCCCAATTTCACCAAAGTAATCCACAAGAAAGGGAATGGATTCGAACAGAAAATCAAGGCGCACTGCTTTTATTGAAGTACAACAAATACTTGTAAAAGCCCTACATGACGCAACAAATTAGAGCGCAGATGATAAACTGCCCACTGCTTCTTCAGGGTATTAATCACACACATAGGCAACAACATTTGGCAACCACATACTCAACAAATTAAAGAAATATATGTATCTTTTAAGCTATTGATATTGAAACTCACGTCATATGCAATGCCGTTACGCTCTTATTGACACCCTTCCAACTTTTTGGGCAGTAGCCTCTACTCTCTTTAACAAACCCTGACACTAAACTGCCCTAGGGTCATTTGTAGTCATTGGCTGTCTGGACCATTTAAAGGTGGGGTAGGTAATTCACTTCAGAAACACTTGTTATATTCCATGGAATGCTCTTAACGTCCCGATAGCAATGAATACATTAAGTGCTTTGACAATAAATACATACAAACATCTGTGGAAGCCGTGGCGCTGTAAAAAGCACGACCAATCTTCTGAGCCGGCCCGGCTAAAAGTAACTGGATGGCCTACCTGCCTGTCAGCCTTCCATCTGTGCACAAACTTATCTCGTGCCCTCATTGGTCATGAGCGCGTTCGTGTGTGTGGAGGAGGGGCTCTGTGAGGAAGTCTGAAGGAAGGGGCAGATTTTTTTTCGGCTGCGTATTTTCAAATTCTAGCGCACTCGAGCTGGTTTCTCCATTCTTACCTACCCTGCCTTTAAAGTGATGTTTAATAAAAGCCAATTAAAACACTTATCAATGAAGCAACAACATCACCTGTAAGTGATTGCGATCCCTGTCTAGACGAAGTGAACGGCACTAATGCACTGTTAAAAAGCTCCAAATCCTTATATTTTTTATGTTGAATCATCAACTCATTTTGGCTTGATAAAATGGCTTGATCCATGCATTGATTAATCTTTCAGCTCTAAAGGTTATACTGTTGGGCTGGATGTTTCTGATTTGTGTCTTTACAAATGTCAAGGAGATGTTGAAAGAGGTTTCTTCCTAGAATTGACAGTTTTAGTTTCACCGTAGCTTTCTACTCTCCCATTATTAAAGTAGTCAAATGTGTAATCTCCCAGAAACAGACTCTTCAACACACCATCCAGCTACCCCAATAAATGGCATGACCTATAAAACTCCAACCAGTTTTTGAATATTTGATGACATCTTGATCTTTATCGGCCCGAGCCTCGTTATTTCTTCCATTTTTTATTTGACGGTTTGTTCCAGCTGATTAATATAACCTTGCCAGGAACAAAACGTCTCTTTGACCCTGATATGAATAGAACAGAGAAAGTTGTCCTCCTTCTAAAGATTGATTCCTGCAAGTTTAGAAAGAAGATACAGTTGATTTGGATGTGATTCAGCAAATACAAAGCGTTAGAAGTGGTTTTTTCGCCCTCATTTTGCTGCTTTATGGCACAGGCACCATGTCAGGAGTCCATAAATCCCCAGCGAAGGAAACAAGCTTTCCATTCAAGCAGACAGACTCCCCGGCTGCAATGATGAGCTACTCAGGCTCAAATGAGAAAAGCCCATAACAAATAAATAACCAGCAGGGGTCTGAGCCGGTTGTAGGATGTAATGGAAACAGCAACCCAATCTATTTCAGCCAGAGACTGTGAAGCTGCCGGTTCAATCAGAGCAGCAGGCCGGGTTGATAAGGAAGCAGAGGAGCCGGAGTGGAAGTAACAGCATCACAGTTTCAAGAAGAAACCCCCCCCCAACCCCTCGCCCCAATCTCACTTCCTGTCCATTTCTCACCACCAGATATCTGCTTTTCTGTCTGTACCTGCTGCAGCGGTGTCACAAATACATCTCCCAGCAGCCACTCGGTGGGCCAAAACACAACCGTGCAGAGATGGCCAAATACAGTGAAGCTATGAAAGAAAGACAAAGACACCTGACGTTACAAAACACTACAATTAATATGTATATCTAATTTGTAACATAGAACATCGTCTTTGCCTAAATAAATGACAGGCTAAGTTTCAAACCAGCAACTGTTATCGTAAACATACAACAGTAGACTCTATGGAGCGGTGCCGTGATGTTTTGTTTCTGTAGTCACGGTTACGTCCCCTATTGGTTTGTAGACTGGTGTAAAACCATCAAGTTTGGCATTGTTGGAATACCGGTGGAGGAAAGTACAAACAAACAGTGATCAAGGCTTCATTACTCAGCCAAAATGTTACAGAAGACACACTAAGAAAGGGTTAAAGTACAGCAGTAGGACGATTTTATTACTTAAGCTGATGGCCAAATATAGGCTATTAAGTTACCCTGCGACTATGTACATTTTTCGAAAACTGAATTTTCACAGGTGGCGCTAGCGAGCATGTTGGAAATGTTGCACCCATCGACTCCAGAATGTAAACATTTTCACCCGTCCTGGCAGCGTTGCCAAATGTCGCTAGATGAATAGTGTCGTAAGCCCCCTCAAAAACAGGTCGAATCCCCAGACTATGAAGAATAAGAATTCTATGCAGGTCTTCGCACACTTCGTGCTCAGAAAGACAAAGATACCGTAAGTTACGATTAAATAGATCTGTGTAGCTAAATTGTAACATAGAACCTCGTCTTCGCTCAACAAATAACAGGCTAAGTTTCCAACCCAGCAACGGTTATCGTAAACATACAACCAGTAGACTCTTAGGAGCAGTGTAGTGAAGACGTGTTGCTGTAGTTAACTATTAGATTAAGGGCTATGGTATAAGACCATAGAGTTTTCATGGTTGTTTCATGGAACATACCGGGCGAGGAAAGTAAAAACAAACACTGAACAAGGACTTATTCATCTGCCAAAATGTTAATTTTATTACTTAAGCTACACACGTTCAAATATAACCTGTAGTGCGTCCAGGCTTTAAATCTTTTTAATGTATTTCAAAGTGCCTAACCACTCGTTGTTGATTCTGTTTCCATAAGTGCTGTAAAAACACTTGTGTAATGAGACACTCATTTAAACACGGTGTAGTCAAACCCTAATAATAGACCCCAGAACTTACTAACTTCGACTTGACTCAAATAACTTTAGACTCAACCTGCACTTGCCCCTAGAGCAGTGGTTCCCAACCTGGAACTCAGATGATTTGAGGCCAAATATCATATTTAGACTTTGTTTTTTATTCTTTTATTCTTTTTTTTGTACATATAATTGTAACGCAATACATGATTGTCACTAAAAGCCTTGTCTCTATATTACAATAAAATATACAAAATAATTGATTAATTAATTTCAATACAAATTCAAGTTAGTATTAAAGGCATAAAAAGACAGAAATGTATAATTCTTTCTTTAATAGAAATGTTTCTTCTGCCCGTAAAGTGTCCAAACCGGGCTTTTCTGTATAAGCGCATTTTTAGTCCTTTTTCAGTTGGATTATTCGTCACAGTTGCTCCGATCAGATCGGTCTCCTCCATTTTG